ATTGAAAGGGTGAGGGTGTACTTATTTCCAGTAACTAAATTGGCGGTACCCCTGTGTGAACCAAAATTAAGATGTACAACAGCTTTTGGTCCAGTGTAAAGAAAAAAAACCTTTTCCAATAAATACTGGAAAAAAATACTGGTGATTTCACAGTTTGGCAATGGACAGCACAAGTCATTTGGGAGCCTGACATTGTAAACACTGGTCCTATACACATATATACAGTATGTAAACACTGTCATACTAAACACATCCTACTGTACCTTCTCATATTTTACTGATGCACATTGCTATATAACATCATAAACACTGCACTGTCATACTGTGCTCACACAATGCTGTGTGCTACATCTTACATCGTACTATGCTTACATTTGTTGCTGCTCTGTAGCATTGTAATTTGCAAGCAATTAACTGTCTCCTGCTGCAGCAGCCACGTGCTGCCTGGCTTTAATTGAGTTCCTGTCAATAGTGAATGGATCTTGTGGAGTACAAGACTTTTTAGACCATGTTGCTTAATTGGAGAGCGACTCATCTTCATAGCAATACATTACAATAAAGTCATTGTCTTTTGCAGGAACATATATTTTTGGAGCTCTCGTGAAGATACTCTACCATTCATAAGATTACTGCAAGGAGTACCCCTGCAACTACAGTACAGCTTTCATATGAGGAATAATGATTCTTGGAATGTCTTCACCTATTTACATAAATGGCACTAAAGTAAAGTGCATTAACTATCTACTACTGTAACTGCTTCCATATATGCTACTATTCTATCTCGTATTCGTATAGCATTGCTGTACAACAGGATGACAGAGGGGTGCTGGTTGTTCCTGTGGCTGCCCTTACTGTACAGGTACAAACTGTTCATTTTAAACACAGTTGGTACTATTAGTTATAACAGTTTAGACTGCCATACTTGATTTTAATTAGTGGATATGTTACAAACCTCTACATTCCCATATGTTTTCATTCTACTGTACCAACATCTTAGTACCAGTTACTCATGATTGGAAAAATAATCTGAGATCATTTGAATAAAAAATCAATAAGGGTGTAGGGTAGGACATTTATGTACGGGATAGTATATGTAAAGTATGCTATCACAAAGGTAACCATGAATTCATATTATATGGTAATTAAATGCATGCAGTGGCATCCATTAAAAGACATTATTAAAGTGCCCTTATCAATCCTGTTTATTGTATGTAGACAGTTTCATATGATCAGAAAGAAAAATAAATAAATCTCTCAGGAAAAGGGCATGGCTTATCCCCTATCCTGCAAATATAATTCATCCCTAATCAATTAGGGAAGTCAATTTGTTAGTTACCTTTATCATATCCTTTAGAATAGTATTGCTTTTATAAATATTACCTTTATAACTTCCAGATAATTTTCTGTATTTCAGATTGTCTGAAGACTTCTTTCCATTTATCATATATTTATATTGGAAATTACACAAAACCCAGCCATGCAATTCATATAGTTTTTTACTTATTTTATTTTACTTATTTCCCATTTGACATATTATCCAGCAATCTTAGTGTGTTTAATTGTGGGGATAGTAAGATATAACTTCCAGCTATCAGCAGCTCTCTTAAAAAGCTACCTCTGGTTATCATGATTAAAGTAATTTCATTAATAAGAGGCAAACATTAGTACTTGTGGGTCACTGTGAGATGAGGGTAGCAGTGTTGAGCAGTGGTTAGGGTTCTAGTCATCAGCCAAAAATAGTAATTGATATGAAAATTGCAGGTAGATTGTATGTAACAGGAAATTCCTGATGTTCTGTTCCTTGGAGCTTTTTCTAGGGGTTCCTGTTCTTATAATTCTGGTGTACTGCAGCAGAGCTGCGCAGTCGGTCGACGCTTATTAGGCAGAGTGGTGGAAATTCCTGACCTCCCAAGCTGCTACAAACGTCTGTTTGAGGGAAGACAGCTCTTATTCTGAGGTCTCAATTGTTGTCACGCAGTTTTCAGAAAGAAAAGATTCACCCCAAGGAAGGAAAACAAGAAAGGAAAGAGGCATGGAGTCTTTGTACAGTGGCTGTTGCTTGTTCTGCCGTGGATTCAGAGCAGGGAGTTCCCAGCAGGAGTAGGACAGTGAAGGGCCACCTGGCCCATTGAGAGGCTGTGCTGGGAGGTACTGTGTGTGTGGTGCTAGGGGCAGGGGTCTGCACTGAAGGCTCAGCAGCAGGTGTCCCTCTACAAGCTTCCTCCTGCTTAATTGAGGTCTGAGTCTTCAGCACAGGACTGGCTCACTTCCTTTGTTGTCCCAGATGGGAAATTTGCATTGCAGGCAGGTACAAGGCATAACAAAAAACATAATACGTCTATCACGACATGAACCTGTTCACAAATAAGAAGCTTACATGCATAAGATACGAAGAGGTTAGCAGCTTGAGTAATCTTTTTAATTAAAAAAAACAGAAAATGGGTCACCATTGTGTGAGATAGGTAAGATACATGCGTGATGATATCGAAAAATAAATAAAAAGTAAAATACCCAATCATCCATCCACTTTCTGACCGCATCTTCCAGTTCAGGGTCATGGGGAAGCCAGAACCAGCCCAAGCAAGCAGTGGGCACAAGGCAGGGTACATCCTGGACAGGATCCCAGTCCATCACAGGGAGGACACACGGACATGCAAACATAAACTCACACCTAGAAACAATATTCCCAGAAGCCAGTTAACCTTCCAGTTTGTTTTGGACTATTGGAACAAAACCCCAGAGAAAACCCACATGAATACAAGAAGAAAATACAAACTCCATGCAGGTAACACCCCAGGAATTGAACCCAGGATCCCAGCACTGCGAGGCAGCAATGTTAAATACTGCACCCCGGTGCTGCCCAATATCCAATCAGATGTTCAAATTAAGTGGGAATAAATTATACCTTAGTTCTATCTCACTTAAATGTGGGTAGTCTAAATCAACACCCTGATGGAAGGATCTCAGACTCGAAGTGGTCGTGAGAATCAATTATTATATTGGGCTATCACACTATTTGTTTGCCATAGCTTCTGGGGACTGGTGTTGGGCTGTTTCACTAACTGGAGGCTCATTTTTTCTTTTTGGTTTCTGAGTAATGTTACATATTAACCTCATCAAGCTTGGGACAAAATCCCGGCAAATCAACTTTCATAAGATGGCAAATGAACTTGAGAAAATAACTTATGGTCTGGCCTAAATGTGTGGTGTTTGCACTATCTATACTCTAGGTCTTGATCTCCTTATGGAACCTGAGAACAAAAACGTCACTCATTCAAGATTTTGAAGTCCCCACAGTCTGCTTTTGTAACAGGACAAAAGAAACTGAGTTTTTTAAGCTCTTTGCGCAACATACTTTGCAGTCCAGCAGTTAGTGTGGTTGATGGTTTTTTAATTCAGGACTCTGCAGGTGCTGTAGAGATGTCTTCCAGAGGTTTGACTACTAATATTGGATTCTGTTGTACAATTGAGGAGTTAAGATGTATGAAGCGTGTTGTTCGGTGTTAGAGGAGCAGTTCAGCTTGTTCTGTTCACAAGTGTGTGAATGTACGTATACTGTCCGTATGTCACAAGTCAAACATTAACAGATTGGTTCCTTTTAAAGTAGCAGTATTTTATTTTTGTATTTACCGGGTTAGAAAACACAATCAACTACAATACGGCACTGTGTAAAACAATTACGTTCAGTGCAGCAGAATTAAATGCAGCACATCATAATACACTGCCAATGCGATTTGCTCTAGTACAGTGGTTTTCAATCTCCTTCAGAATTGTCATTTTCTGTCTCAATATGACCACTATCCTTCATTTCAAGGGTCTCCATCGCTGATCCTGAAGAGCCCCTGTGCAGTAGGTTTTATAGACAGCCATGTAATCACCTGTTTTTAAAGATCTGAGACTATTAATCAATTAAATATGCATTTTTTTAAAACTGAATAAATTAGAGATAATTTGAGACCAATAATAAAGACCATTCAATCCTCAAGGCCCAGTGTTGCCTTCATTGAACAAATTGCTTCTTTAATTGATCCATAGCTAACAGGTGTTTGTATCTAAAAAACGAAGTGTTTCGGGGTGACCTATAAATTTATTTATATTTATTTTTCTTTACCATGGTTTCTCAAGGCCTACATCCAGTTTTACCAAACAGACTTAACCACGGTTTTACATTACTTCTCTGTGTAAACACACTGCAAACGTGGTGTGGGTTACTTTCCTTGTATGTTGTTGAAGGCCTCGCTATAGACTCTGCAGAAGTTTATAGCCCATTTGTCTGAATGTCTGACTTGTCTGTCAGAATTGTATGTCTCAATTATGAGAAGCGCCAAGAAAAATTTACCAGTCACTTTGTATAAATTGTCTGCCGGACTAAAGCCTGTGCATTTAGTTTCCAGAGCACTTGTGAGTTCCTTTCTTTCTGCTTCCTGCTGGCCCTGCTGTGAGTTATCACGCTGCTGTCTGCCTCCTTCAGGCAGAATGAGTGAAACTTTGTGAAGTCTTTGGGACAGAGTTTAGCCTAGGTGGGGGGGTGAGACATTGATTTCATTTTCTTTTTAAATTTCTGATGACTTTCTAACAAGAGCATCCTGCCTGGCACTGAACAAAGAAGATTTTAAAATTCTCTCAATTCTTTTCAAAAACCACTTGAAAAAGCATAAGCCATAAGACTGCAGCAGACAAGCTGTTTGCAGCTGGGAGATTAGAGAAAGTGAAGTGTGAGAGGAATGGAACATGAGTAATGAAGTTAAATGCACAGCGGCAGAGAGATTGAGACACCCTGAAATCAGACACTTTCTCTCTATGTCTGAAACTTCATTCGTGTTCTGTCTTTGAGAATGTATAGCATTAAGCAGCATTCTTATGTTTTTCTAGCTCTGTGGGGAGTTTATAAATTAAACATGTATCCATGCACATAAACAATTTGAAGAAATAGCATATACAGAGTTACACACATAGAGGAAGTACACTATAAGAGCTGATAAAAGGAACAAAATACTCACATATGTACAGATACTCTCAACGATACAGGTTGCCTGTGAATTCTGGTGACACTGACTGCACTCTAGGGCAGGCAGTGGGAGCCCGGGGTTAGTGCTGTTGCTCAAATGCTTGGCCTGGCTGTCAGATGCCCAGTTGCTAAGGACAGCCTGACAATGTTGCTGAGACGTAGCCAATCCGGAACTCCTGTAGCAGTGCTGTCCTCCCATGATGCTCTCTGGCCCTAACCAAGGCAGAGCCCAGAGAGGAATCATCCAGAAAATGAGCTCCTGCCAATCGAGCTGTCTCTGCCACTCAGCCCTCGCTCTGTGATGGAGATGAACTGCCAAGGCAGCAGTCAGAGGACACTTGCATGCGCTTTCCTGCTCTGTGAATTCTGTGGTGAGGAGAGTCTCAGAACCTCACTCTCAGGCAGCTCCAGTCTTGATGTGTCCAGCCATAAAAGTGGAAATATGGTACTTTATCAGTGCAGTATTTTTTATTATTAAAGCAAAGAAGTAAACAAAATGAAAAGAAGATATCTCAGTAATTTGATATGAGGTCAATTAAAGTGTACAGGCTGTTGTACCTGAATATAGTGACAAGAAAGCTTTTCTACTTCTAAATGGTACAGAACTACAGAACCTATTGCCTAACCTGGCAGTGGTAGAATAGCTTTCACCCCAGAGCTTCTTCCTCTTTACAAGGAGAGACCAGAGCTCTTTACCCCAGGAGTGAATTCATGGGGAGAACTAACCTCCCCTACCAGTCTACTCTTCATTTGGAGCCAAGTAAGCTCCTCGGAGACTGCTCTCCAGGTGAAGCTTAAACCAGCCCATCCAGCCCTTACCACCAAGAGCCTGCTGTTAACATCCAGGAGTATTTTATGGAGACTGATGAAACCCGGGATCTCATGTCTGGAGTTATCATCATGTCTCTCTCGGCCTCGTAACTCAACTGCTTCTTAAAGATAGCAACTAATGATGGCCAACTGCAGTAGGGCGATGTGCTGTTCACATGTACAACTTCTTTGCTCATCTCGCATGTGTTAATGTGTGCTGTTAACTCACATGCACGCATTTGCCCTGATTTCTCCAATAATCCTTCTTCAATTAACCCTTTGTATGACTCTCTTACAACATTGTCCATTCTCATCTCTGAATCTGACTAAAAGTCATTGAATACCCATCTCCCAAATTTAAACAGTGCTGGAAATTGGAGCAGATATCAATACACAGCATTCTTACAGGGTTTTGAGAACCAGTCCGATCCCTACTCCTTCTCTCAATGTAGCACACACACAAACACTGAAAAGGGCCTTCATAGTAAATAATATGGGAGTCTAATTACTGCGTATGAGCTTAACATTTTAAATTGCAGTCTTCTCTTTGCTGTTCTGCTACGCAGTTTCCCACTGCCTTTGTATTTGTATTTTGACTTCCTAATCCACTGAGGGTAAATCTTCCACGTCCTCAAAGGACGCCTTGAAAGAAACATCTACAAGCTTCATAAATTCCTTCACAAGATCTGAGCCCTTCTCACTGAGCTGAAACATTTCTTAGGTAAGAACTTGTCTCTGAAAACTGTGATAATCAGATCCATGCAGATACTACAGCTGGTTTGAGTACAGCATTGGTTTCTAATTGTGGTGCTGGAAAGTCCCAATCAGGTAATTGACCAAAAATCACATTGACTAATAAAGTATATATTTGTTTCTTTTAAGAAAATGTAAGCTGACACTTTTAAGTGACTTACATTTTACACCCATTTACACATCTGGGTATGTTATTGGAACTTTGCTCAAGTGTACAGTAGTCTCTCTCTTGAGATTTGAGCCCCCAACTTCCCAGTTATAAGTCCAGTATCCTAACCACTGCTCCACAATTAATTACAGTATTTGACAGATCTATTGGAACCAGTAGACCCTCTCGTTATTGGTGCTCAGCGCTGGAGAATCATTAATCTTAAACATAAGAGTTACAGAGACTTGACCCCAAAAGATTCTAACAATGGATCCAAGTTTCTAACCATAATTCCACAGTCCCCACAGATCATGTACTATATTAAGAGTGCTAGAGTGTAAGAATCGTTACAAGCCAGAGGAGGGTATTCGGCTCATCTAGCCTACAGTATTTGGCTGTGGGTAGCTGTTTGATCAACCAGCTGTTTCTTTCATTTTGCCAGCATGTCAGCTTTAATAACATGGCAGAGTAGCTTGATACAAACACCCACAACCTTTTGTGTAAAACTATCTAAAAAAAACACATTATCTAAAACCATGTTCTACACAATGGAAATGAATACTGTAAGTGATTAATAATATTGGGGCTCATTCCCTGGGAACATTTTGATTCCCTTCTCAAGATATGGCACTTCATTCCTTTTTTAAATCCTGAAAATCCTTTTTTCTCATATTCCACTAGGCTCCTCTTGCCACAGTGTGGCTTCTGTTATTCATCACACACCTGTTCACATTCAGAATAGCATATCATCACCCACTGTTCCGTATTCTGCATGTGTCTCTGAAAACATGGCGTTCAGAATACTAATCGGAATTTAATATTCATCTTAATGCAGTAGCTTTTTGGGTCCATGCTGAAAGCTGTCACCTTCACTCTTGTATTTATTTTCTTAACCTTTATAAAAGAGAACAAGAAAAGATGAGTAAAATGATTTGCTAGGTGTTGTATCATTTCTTTTTGCCTTTACATATATTTTATTGCACAGTGCAGATAGAAATGACAGCTGTGTTATAGTATACCTAATTAAAATAGAGACTGAATTTATTTTTCTGTACTCCATGTGTTTTTAATGAATGTGTACTTCTTGTCTAATTCTAAGACACACATATACTATAAAAAGATGCCAACCTTTGGATGAGACATAAAACTGAGGTCTGTGGCCATTAAAAATCCCAGGATGTTTCTACAAAAGAGTAGGGGTGTCACTCTGGCATCCTGGGCAAATTTCCCCCTGGCCTTTACCAATCATGGCCTCCTAATAATCCCCATCTATGAATTGGCTTCATCACTATGTTCTCCTCCCCACTAGTAGCTGATGTGTGGTGAGTATACTGGCGTTATAATGTTTGCTGTCGCATCATCCAGGTGGGTGCTGAACATTGGTGGTGGTGGTGGGATTCCCCATTACATGTAAAGCTCTTTGAGTGGTGTGTCCAGAAAAGAGCTACTGTATATAACTGTCAGGATTTATTTATTAATATTTTTATTTTATACTGTATAGTACTTATGAAGTTAAGGACATAAATGTATTTTCAACATACTGGCACACCCACAGACACAAACATACGGACAGGCTTTGCACAGGTTCCCAGTAGCCACTTACTGTATGATTGTTCTCTGATGTTGTACTGACTAGAAAGCGAAAGACATTGAGCATAGGTGTGTGGGTATGAGCAGGCATACGTCACAGCACTGTTTACCGGTGTGAAGGTTTCCATGGTAACAGGAAACCCTGGTAATACCCTCAACCCTGCCAGAGTATGGCTGCTCACACTCAGTTTGTTACAGCCATTCAGGCACTGAATCCTTCATATCCTGTAGTGGAAGATGAATTCCCATGTACAACTTCCTGCACTGCTGTGCTGGAAGAAAACCTATTACTTTAAAATTGTTATTTATAATTCTGTTATTTCTTGCTGCTGCACACACAGTGTACTTTCATTATATCTTTTAACACTACAAGCAGCTACTGTTGAAAAATAACATATTTAGTCAAAAGTAATGTTTCTGTCTGATGACTCCCACATTTAAATCAATAATGAATAAAAATAAAAGAAAGGGAGCAGTTGCTTGGAAAATTGGCTCATTGCACAAGTTAGAAACAGTCACAGTTCCCTTTAATCAGACTGAAAGAGATGACTTTCTCCTGTAAAACCTTGTGTCAACTTTTAGAAGCTACAGAGCCAACACTTTCTTATCTGCTCTTAAACGTTTTCTCTTCAGCTCAGTTTTGAAATGGCATCATCTCAAAATCTAGCCAGGTTGACAATAAATAAAAACATAGAACGCTGGTTAAAAATAAACACATAAAAATAAAATACACCCCCACAGTGTTTTATAACAGGTACAGATGAGATAGTTTCAAGGGAGAAAACAAACTTTTCCTTCAGAAGTCTCCCACACGTTACGCAGTGACTGTTTCAGGGCACGTCTGAGCGCCGATGATGGCTACAAGATTTGTTTCCTGCTGGTAATATCATTAAAATATCTTTTGAGACAGGTTTCCATTGCAGAAATTTGCTCCAGCTTTTGTGTTCTGTGTATTATTTTTGCTATCAAAATAATTACGATGATATTTCAAATTAACTGTTAATAGTTGGTGGCACAAGGAAGGAGGAAGTTGTATAACAGATATGTGTGTCTCTAAGTAATGGTCAGGTATTCCTATTTGTTTTCCAATCGTAAGTAAACACACTGTCCTTAAGTATCCTGTCCTGTGTCTGCTGCCTCAGGCCGACTGTACAACAAGAGATGCAGATGTACATTTCTTCCCTCACAGAGAGTTACCGTGTGAAAACGACCAGACATCCCAGACCAAGTGAAACGGTCCAGTGTTCCCAGAACACTAATGTGTGAGTGTCTGGACCAGGATCTATATCAAATTATGTGACGCTGCTTTGTTAGTGTCTGCTGTCTTACAGTATATCCTTGATGTTGTGCTGTATTCATATTTAACCTGGATGAAAAAATCTATTTTTAATCATTCATAATAGTCTTGCAACAGGGATTCTGCTGGCAAGGTTTTAATAAATAACGTTAAGTAGAAGCAATTAAACAAATTCATTTCTGTTAGTTATTGCAACAGGTGTATTGTGTCACACACATTCATGCAGAAAGCTTCTTTTTCAATCATGGATGTGTAAGTGTTATTCGAATGCCAAGCATTTTTGCTGTGTATTAAGAGGATTTTAGTATTGGTTTGCCTCACAGAGAGGGTGCAGAGCTTGTTTTGTTCCTCTTACTTGCCTGTCCTAAACGAATACCAGTCCTGTCACTTCATAGACCAGGAAGAGTCCATAACCCTTACATGCAATGACTCTTGTATATACTGTATATACATAGCTAAACATGTATGAAAAATAATACCCAGAAACAAAAGCTGAAAT